TTTTTTTAATTCTATCCAACAAATTTATAAAAATGGTGTCTCTCATCTAAATTCAATTCAAAATTTTGGATATTTTAGATTTGAATTTTGGAAATTTTATTGATAGCGTCCATGTGTATGAAATATAAATAATCTCAAATTTGTATCCACTACAAAAAATGACACCGTTAGATGAGAATGGTTCTCAGTCACTTGGACGTGCACAGTAAAAAAATTTAGGGTTAATTACAACAACACTCTCTGAGATTTGTAGTATTAACAAACATATATAAGTTAGATCCTTTTTGAACAATGAGACCCCTCAAGTTTATAAACTTAAATAATAACACCCCAAACATAATGAAAGTACATATTTACCCTTTGACGGCATAAAATGACCAAAATAACCTCAACCAATATATACAATCACCACTCACCAGTCTCCACAACCACCTCCGTTGTTCCATCACCAACACACAAACCCAACAATTCAAAATTACACACATGTATCTATATATACATATATACATATATATAAAATATAGGGTAGAGGCAGGCCGTTGTCGAAGAGTATGCCAGAGTTTTTGTTGGCCAGAGGCCATTGCTGGGCAAATCAGAATCCGAGCCGGCGATGAGGAATCAGTCGCTATTCCAGAGAAGTGTTTATGCCCCATCAACATAAATAAATATGAGATTATGATGGTGCTCTCTCTCTCTCTCTCTCTCTCTATATATATATATATATATATATATACAGATATAGTCTTCAATCTTGGAGATGAGAGCGACAAAGGAGAGGCATTTTGTAGTGGAGAGAGAGAGCAATCGACGACGACGGACGAAAGGATCTGGGCAGCGCCGTTTAACCGATTTGGGAGGCTATTTAGATTTGGGCTGTGTCATTTTAGTTGGTCTATTTGATATAAAGCCTCTTGTTCGATCTTGCTTTTTTATATACAAAGATCACACGGTGCTATCTCTCTCTAGCTTATCTATAAAAAGATGAGAACAAGGAAAGGGACTTGTTATCCGAGAGTGGACATGTGTTTGGACAAGAGAGAAGTCATCAAGAGAAGAGTTTTAGCCGGAGAACAACAACAGAGGAATTGCCGGAAACGTTTGAAGACCGCCAGAGTCTGTGATTTGTTCGATTCGTTGCCGGATGATCTCGTTCTTACTTAGCTCCACCGCTGCTTGGAGCCGGCAATGAGGAATCAGTCGCGATTCCGGCGACGATTTTTTGGTTCACGATTCACGATTCCTGTAACGGCTGGATGGCATCATCGTCAGTCCTCAACGCAGAGCTCGGAACTGCAGCGGCGGCGGCGCGGAGATCGGAACTGCAGCGTGGGCGGCGAGGTACCGGTCATCGAGTTTAGATTTTTTGGAGCAGAGGGTAGAGAGAGAAACCTAGGGTAATTCTGTAATATATATTTTTTTGATATTTTAGATTAATAATTGATATTTTATTGAAGGGCAATTTTGTCTTTTCATAACTTTTAGAGGCTTGTTTGGATAAAAATTTTCGCAGGGAGTGTGAGTGTTCAAAAAATGACTAACTTATATATGTCTGTCAATACCCCAAATTTCAGGAGGTGTTGTTGTAATTAATTTAAAATTTTATTAGTGGGCTAAATTGTACCACACATATATCAACCAAGGTCAAACAGTTCTTTATATTGATCAGTCTATTAGTCGGCTAAATTGTAAACCCACATCTATCAACCAAGGTCAAACAGTTCTTTAGATTGATCAACCGAATCTCAAACACTTCAAAACTTGAATTAGTTTGCTTGTCTTATATATAATTATGTAATTATCGGCTCTATACAAGAATTTTGTAACATTATATATATATATATATATATATATATATATATATATAAAAGAATTTCATAAGAAAGTACTATTTCGCCGCTATATATATTCTTAGGGGGAAATAAATCAATGAAAAAATTGTGAAATAAATGGTTCTTGGCAGATGTTTTCATTGTATCATATTAAAGGTATTTAAAAAGGGTCACCCTTTCATTTATGTCCATTTAAAATAAATGGGCAAGTAGTTGACAATGGTGCACAATCAACAATATTAGATGTCGAAGCTTTACCGGAAGCCAAAACTCGAGTGTGCTATAAGTATCTAATAAAGTCTTGCCTCTGCATGTTATTTATGTTCATTTATTATCTAGTAAATGACTAAGAAGACGAGAACTCTCACTCTGGCTCATTTTCAAAATCTTAACCCCCAAAACTACCATCTTGAAGTAGGAGTCTCACCAAAGGTCCAAAACAATTCATTTACATGGAACTCATGTGGGTCCCATCTAAATGAATCAAATAGTTTTAGATTTTGATAAAAAAAAATAAAAATAAAAATAAAAATAAAAAAAAACAACTTTAGACAAATAACAAAAATATATATATAAAATTTTCGTTATGATTGATACTAAAATGTTTTTAATTAAGTGCGTCTGATAACACATAATTTATAAAGTAAAATTTTGCTTATGTTATGTTTGGTAGCATAAAATCAAATCAGCGTTTTGAATTTGAGATTTGAATAATTTTAGTTAAAAGTTTGAACAATTTTTTTTTTATTTTTAATTTCAAATCTAAATTCAAAGCAAACATAACATTAAGTGTGTGTTTGGCTGCATGGAATTGAAATTGATGGAATTTGAAAAAAAAAAAAATCCTTCAATTTTCTTAGTTAACCTTTTTCAAATTCTAATTCCAATTTCAAGCGTCTAATTCTATACAACTGAAAAAAAATTGAAATTAAGGCTCCGTTTATTTCGACGTAAAATATTCTATTTAAAAAATATTTTTATTTTTCAGGTAAAATATTCTTTTATTTTTACTTTGTTAGTGTTTGATAAAGGCCTATTTCGAGGTTGAGGTCGAGTCCATAGGGCGGAGCGTGTAAAATAACTTGTTAAAATTTTATGAATAAATTATTTTTATTAAATTTTAATATTTTACGATAAGTAAATACCAAAAAATAAAAATATACTTTTTAAAAAATATTTTACGAAAGCATAAGCCAAAGCAAACATGGTACTTTATTACTCAAAGATGTAAATGAAGTGGATTGATTAGATTTAGGGCATGTGAAATGGGACTTTGAGTGCCACTATAGAAACTCACGGGCATTCTCACCTATCCCACACAGACCCACACACATAATCTCCTAAAAAAGGCACCCACCTCACCAACCCATAACCCACACCGCCTAACTAAGGCAAGTACTCCTTATTAGCAATGAGCTGTGCCCATAATATCTGCCCTCTCACAGCTACTCACGAGCCTATTAAGGCCCCCTTCAAACCCCTTATAAAACCCCCCTTTCTCCATCTCGACACCCATATAACAACAACAGCCAAAACAACGTAGCCTCCAACAACAACAACAAGAACAACCCAAATTTTAAGCTTCCTCAATGTCTACTACCACTATTCTCTACACAACACTCTTGTGTCTGCTCTTATTGTCACCAACAACACTTCGAGTAACAATGGCCGGTCGCAACTTGGTACTGTCTAAAAGTGGAGACTATGAGACGGTGAAGCCACATTCGAATCACAAGCGAGACGCATTTCAAGGAGGGAGGGACGTCAAAGGTTGCATGCCAAAGGGGTATAGGCGCTCGTCGGCCCCGAGCCGATGGGTGAACTATCACACATTCGGCTGCTCTCCTACTCCTAGTGGCAACTCTGGGAAGCCTTGAAAGTGCAGTCGAGTGATTTGTACATGGTTTTTTGTGTGTTTATGAGCAGTGTGAGAGTGTGTTCCTACTATATATTGAGAGAATTATTTATATTATTATTATTATTTTTTTTCACCACAAGCATATGTTTTTTGAATGATGAGTGCATTGCATGACTAAATGCAAGTATATACAACAGCTCTATATATATATATATATATATATGAGTGTGTGTGACTTTACAACTCAATGAAATCTTGTATCCGATATCTTTATATAGAATATATACATGTATTTATGTTGTATGAATTCATTTTTCTCCAGTATGCTTTTGGTTCGGTTAAATTCAAGACCACAACATGAATGATGAAAACATCCAGATTTGCACTAAATTCACAAATGCTCGTACAATCGCATTCAAATATACTTGTGAATCGTGATGTTACTTGACCAATCCGTTAAATTCCGAGAGTTCAGTTGTTCTGTGATTTTGGCAGTTTAACAGAATCTGCTAATACTCTGCTAACAGAACAACAATATTTTGTTACTTGAATTTGTGATCACACATATTGACCGCGAAGGGCGGGAATGAGTTAATGCATTTTGTGAAATTGACCGCGAATTGAATTATCTGAAAAATGAGACAAAGATTCACCTCAGGATTTTGGTGATTTTTCTGATACAACACCCACTAGGTGCTGCACTCAAAGTTTATGGCTTTTAAAAAGTGAACTGCCAATTCTCTGGATACCATTGCATCTCTTGTCAAGATTCATGTGATACTTGGAGTTGTGAATCGTGATACCTAGATATGCCCCACTGCCTACTCAGCTATCATTTATTGAACCGGGCTGGCAATTCAACTGTCAACAAAATTATGATTTTTTAAATATATATATATATATATATAACCTTTTTTTTTATATAAATAAATAAATAAAAACAATCCTAGCCCTAAGTAGTAACCAGTGATATAGATTAGATAACCATATGGCCATTCCAACATAGATGCGCTTGTATGTAGTCTAAAAATAGTAAGAATTAACCGCAGTACTATCCTGTTCGTCTGAAAGCCTTAATTTACAGCATATGCAGAACTCGGACACATAAAAAACCATAGTGGACCAACTTGGAATTTTATTTACTATAAATTATTACATGATTCCAGGTCAATCATCATTTGACACTCAAACAAATGTGTAAATTTTATTGCTTTTCACTTGGGTATCAAATGGTGTTTGGCAATGATCCCGGTACCATATAATAATTTCTCATTTATTTACCGCAAGAAAATCGCTTGGTATCTGAATTGCACTTTGGTAAAAGAACAATGATTCACTGACTAAAACAGAGCAGGAACAGGGTTCGCATCCTGAACATGTCCTTACATAAATCCATCCATAAATAACAAAACAATTGGGACTAGGGATGCAACAAGAAAGTAGAAAGTTAACTCAGCAACCCCTTCTTCAAGTCAAATATTGGCTCAAGCCATATGGTGCTGAAGAGAGCATCGCCCATATAGTGCTGAAAATGCAAATTCGAAACTGAAAGAAGTCACTGAAATTAATAAAAAGTAATGTATCTCAAAATCTAATTATACAAGTCATCTTCTTCGGCTCCTCCAGCAGAAGCAGCAAATGGGTCAGATCCAGCAGCCCCTTGTCCAGCCTCTGAAAACCGAAATTCAGTTCCAAACCCCCGAGACTGCTGCAAGGTTTGAGCAAACGCCTGATATTTACGTATGTCGGCATCACTTACGCTTCTACGCGCGTACTTCATAGACTCCTCAAAATGAGCAGCCTTAATCTCGGCCACTTCTTCCTCTACGTCCTCATCCATGGAATCGGGATTCTCGCTTCTCCTCCTCTCCCTCTCTATATCCTGCAATAAGACATAATGGTCTCAGCAAACTGAACAAAGTAACTAGAAAGATTGTTATAATCCCCCTCCCCTTCTTCTAGGGGGATTCATCTAGAAAGCAAATCATTTTGAATGAATTCAGACAAAATGTAAACTTGAAAGAGATATCAACATCCACTCAACACAATGCAAAAAATGGTATGATAACGATGATGACAACATTTTGGAAGATCCTTCTGAGGGAAAACATTGCTAGAGGTAAAACGATTTTAACAATTACAAAGCACAACAGGTCAGAGGCTGAACTTGACAGGGCCACCTGGATTGGAGCTTGATCTCCTAAACCTCAACAAGAGGTTCAAAAGCACCAACTTGTAACATCAACCCACCAAATATAGAAAAGGTATCCCTAACGCAACCATACCCAACAATGAACATCTTAAGATCCAACCTGTGTTTGTAATTGCATTTTTTAGCTCCTGTTGGGTTCAGTACAGATTACATGAAAGCTCAACTTTCACAATGACAATAAAACCTTGACCAACTTGAGGTTGAATGTTGAAGCAAGGTTTGGTATTCAACAAAATTTTAAAGGAAAAAAAAATTAACATTTCATTTTAATTTCAAATGAAGAGGGCACTAACAATTGAGGAAGAGAATGAACATGCATATGGTTGTGCAAAAAGGGGACCCATAACTACAAGAACTTAAAGACCCTCCAAAGATAACGAGATGACCTAGAAGAATGTAAATTGAGTTTATTATAAAACGACATGATGAATTATCTTTGATTTATCTGATATATGAACCAAACAATAGACATGGAGTTGATACATCTAAATAAAATAGTCAGGGTAAGGTTAAGCAAAAAGAACTATAACAGCACATATGAATATGTAGATGCAAGCCTGCAAAACCATGCATAATCTTATTAGAAGAAACTAATTAGATGCATCAAGCAAAGGATGTAGAAGCATACTTTCTCAATGTTCTCCCTTATGGCATACTTGCAAGACCGCTGGCATATCTCTGTAATATCAGCTCCGCTAAAGCCTTGAGTATATTTGGCAAGAGCAGTCAAATCAACATCTTTGGAGACAGGTGATTTTCTCAGGCAGGCCTTGAAAATCTGTAATCGAGAGCTTTCATCTGGCAGAGGGATATAAATTAACTGATCAAGACGGCCTGGCCTCAAAAGTGCAGGGTCAATTATGTCAGGTCTGTTAGTAGCCCCAATAATGAAAACAGTCTTCTTCGCAGACATGCCATCCATTTCAGTCAAAAGTTGGTTCAGAACCCGATCGGCAGCACCACCTGCATCCCCAACACTGCTTCCCCTCTGCAATAATGACAAGAAATTTACTTGTAAGCTGTGATCAAGAATTTAAATTGACGGAATCACCATGTTGCTGGGTTTTAACTTTTAACATGCACATGCAATTATGGTTTTAAAACTATCTTGAAGATTTTCAACCACTTGATATTAAGAGTAATTTCAACCACAGACCAAGTAGTGGTGGGAAATGAAGGGCAAACCTGAGTAGCAATGGAGTCAAGCTCATCAAAGAAGAGTACACATGGAGCAGATTGTCTGGCCTTGTCAAAAATTTCCCGTACATTAGCTTCACTCTCACCAAACCACATAGTGAGCAGCTCAGGTCCTTTAATACTAATAAAGTTGGCTTGACATTCATTAGCAATTGCCTTGGCCAGTAGAGTTTTTCCACATCCAGGGGGACCGTAAAAAAGAACCCCTTTTGAAGGTGACATGCCAAATTTCTCGAACTTCTCTGGATGCTCCACAGGATATTGGACAGTCTACAGAATAAAATGGAAGTAAAGACAAACAAAAACTTAGCCAAGGCATAAGAAGCATTGAAAGAAGAATACTGACACTGCTCAAACCCAAAATAGTTATTTTCATTACCTCCTGCAGCTCCCGCTTAACATTCTCAAGGCCTCCAATGTCCTCCCAGCTGACATTGGGAACTTCAACAACCTGCGCATCGGTTCAAAAAGAAAAGGGTAATGAATATTTGATTCCAAAGAGATGTCCATATTATTTAAGAAACAATACTATTCCACTATACAAAATCACTTCTAGAAATTCATTTACCGTTTCCCGCAAAGCAGACGGATTGCTTGTTCCAAGAGCAGTCTGGAAGTGCTCGTCTGTTACAGCCATGGAATTCAGTATCTCAGCATCAATGGTTTCATCTTCCAAGTCGATGACATCCATCTTTTCTCTGATGCATTGAAGTGCAGCTTCGGTGCAGAGAGCAGCAAGGTCAGCACCAACATACCCGTGAGTGTTTTTAGATATTTTCTCTAAATCTACCTGTATAGTAAAAAAAAATTTGTTACTGCCGTTAAGCTCGATTACCACGTCCAAGAACACAAACTTTAATGAGAATAATGCAAAGTAGGCTTTACCTCATCAGCAAGCTTCATGTTCTTGGTATGAATGCGAAGAACTTCAAGCCGTCCAACTTCATCTGGAACACCAATATCTATTTCCCTATCAAACCTACCAAACCTTCTCAAGGCAGGGTCAATGCTGTTTGGGCGATTTGTAGCCCCAATCACAATAACATGCGCCCGAGATTTCAGTCCATCCATGAGAGTTAATAGCTGTGAAACAATCCGCCTTTCAACTTCACCATGAGTCTTCTCTCGCTTGGGAGCAATTGAATCAATTTCGTCAATAAAAATGATAGCTGGGGCGTTCTTCTCAGCCTCCTCAAACGCCTTCCTGAGATTGCTTTCACTCTCCCCAGCCAATTTGGACATAATTTCTGGTCCATTAATACAAAAGAAAAAAGCACCAGTTTCATTAGCTACAGCTCTAGCTATCAGCGTCTTTCCTGAACCTGGGGGTCCATAGAGTAAGATTCCTTTGGGTGGTTTCACACCAATAGATTTGAAAAGTTGTGGATGCCTCAATGGCAACTCCACCAATTCACGAATCTGAGCCATCTGCTTCCTAACGCCACCCACGTCATCATACCCAACCTCATCCAACCGATCCTCATCCTCCCTTCTCACAGGCTCGCCCTCACAAAATATTTCAGTATCTGGGGCAACCACGCAATACTCCCCTGGGTCAGTCTCAATGACCTTAAATTCTACACTTCTCATCCCTCCTCTCACAAGAAAGTGATCTCCTTTCCTCACTGGGCGGTATGCCTCCATAAAATAAGCTGCAGATAAAATATTGGCAATTGGCATAAATCAAACACATCTCATCAATGCAAATGGTTAACCAAAATATGGGATGAAAGACATTTCAATAATGAAACTAAACACAATTTCTATAATGAGTTAACCTAAACGATTTACATTCTCAACTAGAAAGAAATATCAACACAAAATACCATATAAAAGATAACGAGCATCAACTAGTTACTAAATGCAAATTAAATAAATAAATGGAAAACTGATTAAGGAACACAGTGATGGTGGCCATTCTATTATCAACACAAGCCCTTGCAGTTACAAAAACATTTTTATTGGTGTTCCAATTTTCACAGACACAATGTCCTACTACTAAATCAATCTAGTCCCCATTTAAGATAAATATATCTGCTATTGTGCCGAGAAGGGGGGAAATAAAACGAAATCTAAAATTATGTAGATTAAAATCCTCCACCTTATTTTTTATTTTTTGATAAGTTAAATTCCTCCACCTTATTAAGACTGAAAAAGAATAATCCATTTCTCCTATTTCCACTTTTAGTTTGCAGCGTTCGTCAAACTGTCACCATACAAGGTATAGAGTTTATAGATGAAGCAGACAAATTTTTTTTTTTTCCTAGTTGGTACTCACGCACGTCTCTTCTGATAGATGGACGAGTCATCCTTCCTCCTTCCCAAATTTTCATCTCTCCAAATATGGACGGAAGACGCCAAGGAAAAAGGCAAAGCTATTATCGAAGTTTTTTAATTACAAAACTTTCCTTATAATTAACACTCTCTCTTCACTTCTCTCCTAACAAACAAAACAAAAATATTATCTCATTCTCTTCTCGTCCATCCAACCAAACAAATGGAGGGAAGTACACAATCTCTTCCCTAGGGATGTCTCATTCATCTCTTTTCTCTCCCTTCCATCCTATTTTTTTTCCTTCCTACCACACGGAGTATAAGTTATTGGAGATAGAATGTCTATGTTCAAAACGCCTGAGATTAACTAATACTAAAACATGCCTCAACAGGTAGAATGTTGGCAGGATAAAAATATCACCATCTTGTCTGATCTCTAGCCAGATACTTTAATATAGATCATCAGGAACTGAATTCTGTGGTGATATAATTATTTCCTTAAGCATGCAAAGCTCCTCAAGAATGCAAAACAGCAAAACAACAATTTTATAGAACATAAAAACATAAACTTCTCAAAAAATAAATAATTAATTAATTAATTAGAACATAAGGAAAAGTAGACACCAAATCGAGTCCACATGGCTTAGCATTAGTTCCAATCTCAAGTAGTCATCTACATATAAAAGAATGTTGGATACTCATTCCTCCCTTCTTTTGTCAATACATATCAACCCACCAAATGTGATTTCTAAGCACGTTTTATATTTCTAAGCATGTATATCTGATAAAAACATCTCCGACCAATACATGTAGACATTCATCACTTTCCTTTTTCTTCCTTTTTCCTTTTTTTGCCAAATCAAAAGATGAAAACAACTTTGCTAACACATATCATCTAACTGCAACAAATACCCCTAATGTCAAAAAGTTTTAAGTTAGATTGACTTTCTATGCAGCCAGCCCGTGACTTCAATTCCTATTGCCCAGGAAAATGCTAAAGATCTCCAGGCCTATGTTGCACGAAAGAAATGGTCATTACTTGGTGTGACGGTAAAAGCTCAAACTGAGATGTGTGAGGGTGCTGGTTCATGTATGAACTGTGTAAAATAATGCCAAAAGTTCATAGAGACCCTCCCAACAGTCCTCAGGACCAGCACTGATCGTTATCTTTTCTAGTGTAGCCAACAAAACTATGCAAGGTACTTTATCCATTTGTAAATATTTTTTTATTTTAATTTTGTAACAATTAAAAGGGATATTGGGGATGCACTTTTCACAAGGAAATATGTGATGAAACTTTTGCCATTTTAGAACGAAGCATATTTAATCTTTTGATAATTATTGGGGCTAACCGATGAAAGGAAAAAACTAGAAGGCAATGCCACAATTTTTTTATTGGATGTCTTAATGATAGTATGTGCAAACCTTTGTTATATGTCAGATCAGATGCAGATGATGTAACTGTTTAGAATAAGAGCGAACCATGGTAGTATACGAGCATATTTTGATTTAAGAAGTTAGGATCCCTTGATTTTATTATGTCGAAAAATGGTCTCGGATACTTTAAGCAAAAAGGGAAAAAAGGATGACTTTGGCATTTCTTTAGCTTTTTCTCTTTCAATCTGAGCAAACATTCAATTCTAAAGCTAAGAAAATTCAATACCCCTCCCCTTTCTTCAAAAAAATAAATAAAAGAAGATACACAATAATACAAGCACACCACCCTCTCTTTTTCCTATTGTGTGAGTACCAACTAGGAAAAAAAAAAAAAACACAACAACAACAACAACAATAATAATAATAAGAGAGAAGCAAATGGAGATGGACCACCATGCTTTAAACTAAATTAATTTTATATTATAAGGAGCAGCTGAACTTGCGATGTCCCTAGCATTTCAAGACACCAGAACTTAAACCCATGTATACATAAGCAAAGGAGGCAAGTTAAAAAACTTACGTTTCAGATATGCATCAAATAGATCCCCGGTGACACCTTCTATAGTGTCATCTAATGGCAGTACGTGGACACGCTTCCCATACTTAACATCTGGGCATTGGTGCACAGATACAACATCTCCAAGCCGAACCCTCAGATTTGTTCTGACGACCTTGTTCATCCTGATCTTTGGCTCATCACATGCGTCGTCAGCAAGAGCAATACAGACTGTATCCCTCCTCTTCTTGCCCTGGTAACAAAAAGGTGGTAAAATCAATTAAATTAAAATATAAAATCAAAGAATATTAAAACCGTGGCAATCACATATTTAAGTCCACGCAGAAAAGGAAGGGGAAGAAGAGACTTCCACCTAATTAGGACACATAAAACACCAGCACCACCATAAATATATAAACAAGAGATGACAAGGCACATTTCGACATCATATAAGGTAAACTACATTTTACAATTGATGTTGCAATCTTTCAGTAAATACACCTAAAATACTAGTAACATTCTGTAACTTTAAGCAATCCCCACCTTGAAATGAGAGGAATAAAATAGCAGCAACAAAATCACTAGGGATGTGGTCAAGACACAACCTATTCCCTAAGGACTCCACCGAGTCTCATGTGATTCCAATTCTAATAGGTAACTTGGACTCGGACTCGACCGAGTCTCCAAACAAAGCCCCGCACACGAACCGTGTGATAGGTAATGCCACGCCGAAACTTAATCATTGTACTAAGACAGCCTTGCATATTGAATGCAATGAAAGAGCAGCATAAGTTATTTGTTGAAACAGATAAGTGCCTACGCAGCAATAGAATCAAAAGTTTAAGTTATTTGAAATTATTGCTACCATTTGCTTTTTCCATATAAGAAATAAGTTGGATGTGTTACTCTAAAAGAAAATACATTTTTATTAGTAAGATAAATAAATATACATCAATAAAGGCATACATAAACACAAGGACCCGTAGATTTATTTATTTTCGCGGCACTGCTCTCTCTTTTTTTTTTCTTTTTTTTTTTTATTCTATAGCATCCTCTATCCATAGAGTACATCAAGTGTGGTAATACCCAAACAGCAAAATCCATAAACCCAATTGACACATTACAAATTCGAACACAAAGTTTGACAAACCCTCACACAAAAATCAAAATTCTTTCTGCAATAAAAGATAATTCAAATACAATATAGATTTCAAACAGGAGGGAGTGGCAGTTTATCAATGGGACAAAAGTTCAAATTAGTCCTAATAACCAATTTATGCAAATAAGTGATGTCATCTAATAATCACATTGTAAAACCATAAGGACAAGAAGAACTCCAAGGGTTTAAAGATAATTGCTCAAATGTCATAATATAGTACCGGAATAATATGAATTATATCAACACGGTCAATAGCCCTATTATCCAAATTCTACCAAAATAGAAAGAAACAAATACAAATATAAATATAAATTAAAAAGCAAAAGCAACCAAAACCTTGATCATGATTGTATCTCCACGGAAAAGCTGCAACTTCTCCATGGTATCAGGGTGCATCGCGACCACAGAGTTGTCGTCATTGACCGCCTCGTCAACGACGAGTCGATTCGCCGCTTTCTTTCGCTCTAAGATTGCGGTCGAGAAATCCTTCTTCCCACCTTTCCTGAAAAATCATAAAAATAATCATTCGAATTCGTCAAACTCAGTGAACAATCTCAGATCACATCATGGATTGTGAAGTAGTTGAGAATGATAGTAAAAAGAAGTGAGTTAATCGAGTCTGAGTTACGAGTTGGAGGGACTCACGAGTCAGAAGATTCAGCTGCTTCATGGCTCATCTTCGAATTTGATGAAAAAGACGGAGAGAACGAGAGAGGAATCAAAGAGATGATATGAGATTTGGAGTCTCAGAAGACTGGATCGGCTATTTATATAACCATTCAGTTTATTCTTTGTTTTGTCAGGAATAGGATATGTTAAAACCGTATGTGGTTTCCTAATAGGAGTAGTAGTTTTTTAATTTTCTTTTTATTTTAAAGTTAAAAAATTAAGAATTCTATTGGAAACGAATTGAATTCTACTTAAAATGTTGTATTTGGAGTATGAATCGGTATTTAAATTTGAAATGAAAGGAAATTTATTTTAAATATTTAACTAATTTTTTTTAATGTTAATTTCAAATAGTATTCAAAAACACAATATTTTAATAAATTTTATCATGCTAAAGAAGTTTTGTAAAGTGAGAGACGTGAAGGAAAAGATAATTTTGGTAAGTTAAGTAATAGTTAGTTACTAAATTCCCCCAAATTCTTTTAATTTTTCCTGATTTTACAACCTTTAAAATATTTGGCAAATTGCAATAAAATCCTTGTTTGTATTAAACATTCTTTATTTTATTTTCTTTTATTTTTAAAATACCCTATTAATAGAAGAGGTTACTTTAAAAGGACAATTACTAAAATACCTACCAAGTCAAAGGAGTTACATGTTTTATTTTTTTAATTTTTGTTTACTCATTCTATATATTATATATACTGTTATTATAGTTGTTATTATAATATTTATTTTATATACAAGTATATGAGATTACGTTTGATTGAATAATTATATCGACAAAATACAATTAATGGCATAAATTAACTATTAAAATAACAACTTGGTTAGGTGGGGTGGCAAAAAAATTGAAAGGAATGTTTAATGCAAAACCTTACAAATTAGGGGAGTTTTCATGCATTTAGCCTACAATGTTTCCCTTGAAATTCTTCAAATATCATTTCCATGGTTCCAAACACATCCAGTTTGTTTGGTTTAATTTTATTATAATAATTTTATATTTTCAAAAAATAATATTTTAAAGATATTTTTCAATTCTATCATCACTATTATATATTAAAAAAAAAAATGAGTTCAATTTCATTGTTTTTTGTAATTATTTATTTAAATATGTAATTATTTTTAAATTTCAAGATTATTTTCAAAAAAATGGATAAATGACGCTTATACTCAATTACACTATTTACAAGTGACACTGCCATTTTATTTTAAAGTATAGTGCTTTGCGCTAATAAAATAGAAGAGAGTGAATATCTCATTTTTTTTTATTAAAATAACAAATAATATGACAAATTCACAACTTTACAAGCATATTAAACTCTCTTTTTTTTATTTTTTTTCAAGTTTTGAGGTATGAAGAAAAACTCCAACCATTTCCCTTGCACTTAAAAAAATAAAATAAAATAAAATAAAATAATATATCGCTATGTTGCAGGTTTTGTTAATTGACTCGCATATTTTACACCATATGCCAGTCGGTGATCTAATTCAATCAAAATAATATTTTGCTAACCTTAAGTTCTTTTTTTTCTTTTTTTTTTAATTAGAGGACTTTAATTAAACCAAATCAACATGCTCCAAGACTATCGCTAATAATTTATCATATGATTGACAATGAGAGAGATGAATGTTGTGTTATCACAATAATTATTTAGAAATTGTGAAAAAAGAAATACAAAGAGTATTGAAATCACTCATCTAATTTGAAATTTGTTTATGTAAAATAAATAAATAAATAAAGAATTTGCTCGTTACACAAAAATTCTTAATTGTATCTCCCATCATTGAGTGTGGTTTTTTTATTTTATCATTTTCAACAAAAAAAAAAAAAAAAAAAAAATCATCCACCCATTCATTCTTATAAAAATTAATAAAAATAAATCCAAAATGGGTGAACGAAGGAGCCCAATGTGTAAATCGTCATAGTATTTTTTTGGACGCAAATCATCTGTTGTGTGATTTCTATGCTGTTTCCTACAATGAGCGGTAAGTGGTTTTAGTTTGGCCACGTATTACTTCACTTAATAAACACTAAGAATGTGTTTGGCAATTGCACCACTATTTATAAGTAATATTTCACCAATATTTATAAGTAACATCATAAAAGTCTAAAAGTAATACGAAGTATCAAATCATCTAAAAAGTAACATCACCACCATTCCATTTATAAATATCTTCACCCTCAAAACGTGGTGATGTTATTTTTTAGATTATGTGATATTACTTTTAGACTTATGTGATGTTACTTATAAATGGTGATGAAATGTTATTTATAAATGATGGTGCAATTGCCAAATACAGTGTCTATTAAGTGGAGTAAAACGTGCGCAAATCAAGGCCACTTACCACTCACTCTGTATGAAACAGCGGGAATCGCAGGTGATTTGCGCCCGTATTTTGTTAGGTGAAACGTGGGTCCGAATGAAGGAGCCGAATATGCTCCTCCGTAGGAAACATTTACTAAGTTCGGAATGAAAATGATTTTGTTTTATTTTTTTATTTTTTTTTAAGAATGGTGAATATATGTGTATATATAAACAAAAAGATAAAAGATATAATACAAAAGCAAAACAAAGAATTTCGAACACCGAAAAAAGCGGTCAAAAGATCGACGAAAAATCTCTAAATACTTGCTTACTGGCTTCCACTGCTTTCACTTTCACTTTCACACACTCGCTGCTTCTCTATCTGTTGGTGGAGCTCTCTCTCTCAGATCCGGTAAGCTTCTTTTTCCTTCTCTCCCCATCGGCTTCGATTCTGTACTTTCTCACTATATAGAGTTATCTTATCAAAGCTTTGATTTCAATGATAACTTTTAGGGCATTTTAAGAATTCATGTAAAATGGATTTTCTTTTGTTACACATATCTTTGTATAGTTTATTTCGTGAACTGGAGCTTTTGGATTTCTTGGATTGCTTTCATGAAGTGTTTATTTGCTGAGATATTTGAGGGAAAGAAAAGAAAGCGTAGCTATGAATTACTGATTTGAGTGAAATGATTAAGTTATGGTCAGTTTTGGAGGCTTTAGTTTTCTTGGGTTTCCATTAATGAAAGAAAGAAAAAAAATCAATGATTCAATGTTAATACATAGTAGTACTCTTTTATTTTTTTCTCAGAAACCAAATGGAGCATGAAATGAACATTTTCAAATCACTATAGGTTAACCACCATCTACTCTAAAAGCTTGAGCTGTTAGAGAGGGTGTAACTTTAATATATAACCCCTCAGGGTGGCCTTCTTTTAGTCCAACATATATTTCAATTTTAATTATCAAGGTGACACTGAGGTTTGATTACAGGACATTGCCTGCTCTGATACCATAAAACAACTGATTAATTTAAATCTCACTCTCTTGTAGGTTGTGAATGAGAATCTATATATATATATATATATATAGATATATATATTTGATAAGTGAGATGAGACTTTTTAACATATTAATTATCCTTATCACTATCTTTCTTAATTTTGAAGTGTTTACAGAGTAATGATGGCGGAATCTGAGAACCAAGACATGAATATAAATTTAGTTGCAGCATGAATTTCTTTCCTATTGTTTATTGGTTTATCTTTTTTTGGATGCAGGTTTGATTATACTCAATGCTTGAGGGGGGTTTTGATTTGGTGTGTTGAAAAATGTAAATAGAAGTAATATTGATGTTTGGAGTTACTGAGTAATTTGACCAGGAAATGATTTCAATTGGGTGTTAAGAACAAGTTTCTTATGTATTGTCGAATGTTTGTTATTTACATCTTAAGATAATATAAAATTCGGAAAAAAATAAATGGAAGAAATACATTCCCAATCTGATAATTATAGGTCATCATCTTCATCAGCCAGCAGTCCAGCCAGTAGGGTACCCTCAAGTAATTTTTTCTATTTGCGAAAGCCTGGATCACTAAGACAACCTATCTCATTTGAGGACTCACCTGACTGGGAGGATACGGATATTGATGTTAGGGTTGAAGAAGGAGGTGACTCTATTAATGCTGCAACCACTCCGGCCTCCCCGTCTCTCTCAAAGCTCAATAGTGGGTCGTTACCATCCCCACCACTACCAGAGGGTGTGGTCGTTGCAAGAAAAATTGCAGGGGCTTCAGTCGTGTGGAAAGACTTAACCATTACAATAAAGGGGAAAAGGAAATACTCTGACAAGGTTGTGAAGAGTTCAAATGGGTATGCTTTACCGGGGACAATGACAGCAATCATGGGTCCTGCCAAATCGGGGAAATCGACACTATTGAGAGCTCTTGCAGGTTTGTAGGCATTCAAGTGATTGTCAATACTAGAAAAAAGCAGTTGAATATGCATCTTTCATTATTAATGTCTACTTGAGGGGAATAAATCTAAAAATGATGCTTTTCTTTTTTACTTTATCTAGGAAGGTTGCATAATTCAGCCAAGATGTATGGTGAGGTATTTGTAAATGGGGCAAAATCACACTTGCCACATGGATCCTTTGTAAGTTTTATGTTGTCTTACATGTCATTGAATCTTTATTTCTATATATATATTTACTTTTATTTGTGCCTGTCAAGTGTCATCCTAATTTGGTATTCGTAAAAAAGAAAAAAAAATAAGAAAAGAAAATAACTCCACCTAATTTCCTCTTATTATATTTATGAGGTGCTGAATCATTCATACTCTATGATAATCCGGATCATTATGGTTTCAATCTATTGAAGTAGATGAACTTTAATGATCAGCCTATGTCAGTAGCCAATAAATTGAGTTGTTTGCGGTGTCTTCTTGCATGTTATGTGTATCCTCAATACATAGTGTTTACCTTTTCTGTTTGTGAATCTACCTTAAGGCAGCTGAAATAAGGTTTGGACTGTATTCGATATGATGTTCACTTGAGATCGTGAATCAAGCTTTGAGAAAATTGTTTGGAATCATTCTTAATTGTTTGAATATATTATTCAGCCAATGTGTATGATTTGACATCTTGTGAACTTGTCCCAAAAGAAATAAAATAAAATAAAAAATCATCCAGTGAAATTTCTTTCCTTCAATGGAGCATTTGTCCTAGGTTAAATGGTCAGTACCTGGTGTAGTTTCCGTTAATCGAAGGTGCTAAGGCTAGCGATGGCAACACAACACCCGGCCCCCCCGCCCACCCCCCCCCCCCCCCCCCCCCCCGCGCACGCGCGCGGTTAAATTCTCCCACCACCCTGCCCTGCCCCATTTAACAATATATATATATATATATGTATGTATGTATTTTTCATAAAGCAATAGAAAGGACATGAGTTTATGAAATAATAAAGGGATACAATATTAGAATTTTGGCATTTTAGTTTATAAAAGAGTATTTAGTATCTTTAATATTATATAGGACTATTTATGTAATTATGCAATATAAAGTTATAAACGGGGGCAGGGTGGGGCCCTGCACCCGTGCGGTTTCTATCCTGTTACCCCGTCCCTGATTAAACCACCCCCAACCCATCCCACTAAGGGCGGGGTAATTTGCCACCCTACCAAGGAGGTTGGATTTCATACAACCTTTAGCATTATTTGGATAAAGTGGTTACTCTCAGGATTTGAATTCTTGTTCTCACGCTTGAAAATGCAGCATTTTACCCATGCAGCAAGTACGAGTCCTGGGCATTGTACAAATTCATCCACCCATACCTATTATAATTTATAGAAGGAAATTTGTGTTCAGATTCTAACTCTTGATTGCAATGTAATATTTTGAATCAACAGTTATTACTTGTTCTTTTGTGAGTTCAAAGTTTTGACAAGGTACCTTTTCCCTCAATTCACAGGGTTTTGTTGAGAGGGAAACCACCCTAATTGGATCCCTTACCGTGCGTGAGTTCCTTTACTACTCGGCTCTGCTTCAACTTCCTGGTTTCTTCTGTCAGAAAAGGAGTGTGGTAGAGGATGCCATCCTTGCTATGTCATTGGGTGATTATGCAAACAAACTCATAGGCGGCCACTGTTACATGAAGGGTCTTCCTAATGGTGAGAGAAGGCGTGTCAGTATTGCCAGGGAGCTTGTTATGAGACCGCATATCCTATTTATAGATGAGCCTCTTTATCATCTTGACAGGTTCTCTCTCTGTGCGTGTCTGTATGTTTCTTTTACTGATTTAAATTCTCAAGGGCTTTCCATGGAATTTGGTAATTATGTCCTGAGGGATTTACCGTACTATTTGTAACTGTAAAATCAGCGTTTACCGCATGGTTAGCTTGTTGTAACACATGAGCAGGGTTATTGCTTTAAAAAACCTGGTATCCTAATTCTACATTTGTTTTTAAGGCCTTGTATCCTTAGATACGCCGAGATCATTGTGGACAATCTTAAACAAAAAAAATCCTTAATAGCACCCACAAACACAAACACACTCACACATATACACAAATGGATTTATGATCGTTGCCACGAGATGATGATTTCAGAGCTTGGGAACCTGTTGTTATTGTAATCGTAATATAATTTATGGCATCTGACTAACAAAGCTGTCTCAGTATTCATGGTTTCAAAAATGTTATTCCATTTTTTAATTTTTTATTTTTTAGGTATCTAACAGAATCAGTGACTTGATTGTGCTGCTTTTTTATTCTTATCCATGCTCTAGATTGATTTGTCTAGGTAACTAGTAGGTTTGTGTGGCAGGTCATAACTCCTAGATGTATGATGATTGGTCTCTGTTTTTCAGTGACATTGACCTTATTCCTATTTTAACTAAAAGTTATGTTTTGCTTTGTTCAGTGTCTCTGCACTTCTGATGATGGTTACATTGAAGAAGCTTGCAAGCTCAGGTTGCACTCTTATATTTACTATTTACCAAAGCAACACAGAAGTATTTGGGCTATTTGACCGAATTTGTCTGCTTTCAAATGGAAACACGCTGTTTTTTGGAGAGACGTTGGCTTGTTTGCAGGTAAAATGTTTTGGTTATGGGTTAATTTTTCTCCTTTGATCTTGGGTCTACGTGAAGAATTTGGCGTTTGTGAGCCCACCATACTTGCATCTGGCTATTAACCCATCTCCTTAGCATAGACAAAAGCAGAAGAAGAAGCTGGTATTCCACAAATTGTACAGTGTCGCACTCGCACCCGGTTTTTAACCCATTCCCTTAGCATAGGCATAGTAAGTGATTGGTGTAGTAAAAGAACTAGGTTTAATTCAACAAAATTAAGGGTTTTAATTAAAAACGTCTTAAACAGATTAATACGGAATCACCACTAAACACTGAGTTAAGGTGTGTTAGGTCACATTAAAAATTGAGGGGAACATATCATTTGGAAGTAAGAAGACCCCCTCCTCCTTTTTTCATTTTGAGTTATGTGAACAAAGCTCAAAAGATCGGGGGGTTTGATTATGCTTGGGGAAGGTGTTAGGCACCAATAAATTATCCATGAAAAACCATGGCTACCACATTATTTTATTGACATTCCTTTTTATTGCTTATCAAATATATATATATATTAAAAAATATTCTAAGGTTCAAGACTTTTGACTGAAACAAATGAGTTTTGTTTTTTGGAATATGGAATGCCATGAAAGATTTATTTAATGTCTTATCATGTGGAATATTTTAGGCTTTAATCACATGGGCTTATTATCTTAAATCTTGAAGAACCGAGAAGGTTAGATTTGAAATGCATGCGAAGAATTCCTTGAAAATGAGAAGTTCACACACACAAGTGCATGGAATAGAAAAATAAACCCCTTTAGTGTGTAAAGGGATGTATTTCTCTTGAGCGCCTTTAATTAATTTTTATTTATCAAAAAAGAGAAAGAAAAATGCATCCCTTTAACCTCTCCCTTTTGTCATCAAGAAGGGGAAAAAAAAAAAATCTTGAAATGAGAATGTGGAAGTTTAATCATGAATGCAAAATTGAAAAATATCATTTTAATTGAGAGCTTAGAGGAATTTTTTGGAAAATGGATGCCTAGGGAATTTAATGGAAATACATACAGTTGTATTTTATGAAAATGCTCGCTTGCGTATTTTGAAATCATTAAACACCCCATTTTTTGTGATAATATATTTGCATGAAAACACTTTGGAAAAAGATAAGGGGGAAAAAATAGAAATGTCAAAATCTGCATAAGAAAAAGAAATTCCTTTAAAATAAAAATGGAATGTCCTATTTTTTAGGTAATATTGACATTATGACATTTTAGCAAATGGAAATTTGAAAAATGCCAAAATTAACACAAGAAAGAGAATATTCCATGAAAATTTATAGAATGTATTGTTTTTGTTTTCAGCATTATAACTTGCCATAAACTAACATATCTTTCTGTTGCTGCAGCATTTTTCAAATGCTGGATTTCCTTGCCCTATCATGCAGAGTCCTTCTGATCACTTTTTACGTGCAATAAATACGGACTTCGACAGGATCATTGCAATGTGCAAAAATTTGGTAGGTACTGTAGTGCTTTTACTCATACAATTTATGAAGTCAAGAAAATTTAAAATAACGCAGAATGCATCCAAAATCTCCTTTACAATGTCGCAGATCATAATCTTGGAGCCAATAGACATCTCCATACTTTTCCACAAACAAGTCATTGCAAAATGGTTCTCACATGGCACTCATCAAATTTGTACTGCATTACCCTTAGACAGGGTTGCAGGCAAATTGTACCATAAACTTCTTTCTACACTCCATTCTGCCCTGATAGCATGTGCCCATAACAAGTAATTGGAAGGACCATGCAATTTTACTGTTTTTAATTACATGCCAATTCTGTCTAGGGATGATTTTCACGCCCCTAGTCTCTGCCATAATTAAAACACTGAAAAGAAAATGATTACTCAACCCCAATATGAACAATGCACTATACCATACAAAATAACTACTGCTCAGTAAAACTCACCAAGTTAAAGAGAAACCAGACACCAATCTTTTCTGGTTCTAGAATACAAAAGACAAAGTGCCAACCTAATAATTCAAACACAAAAATTTGAAACAAAAACGAGGCTTATGAAAATAGTTGGGATAAACCAATTCAATTCTATCCAAGCATTCTTTAGTGCAAACCAATTCAATTCTAGTCATGAGCACCATAATTTCAACTGAGAAAACTGTTGAAAACAGTTGGGATAACCCAATCTGATACTTGAGCAGAACATCAAAATGGAAAGCTCTAAAATAGGTTTTTACTTGTTTTTTTTTATTATAATATTTTTTTACTTGCGCTTCTGGGCTTGTACTGTACATCACACAAAACTTCATTATGATATACAACAAAATGGAAAGCATAAGTTATAATGTTTTTTACTTATGCTTCTGGGCCTGTACTGTACATCAAACATAAGTTTAGCATAATACTTTTCTTACTGTACATCACTCATAAGTTAGCATAATGCTTTTCTTTCTCCTTTTTGTGTAAGTTTTTTGTAAATGGAGTAAATCGTTTGACAGGATGACAATGGAGATTTTTCATCAGTGAATATGGACACCGCTGTTGCAATACGCACCCTTGAAACAACATACAAATCATCACCTGATGCTGCTGCAGTTGAGACGATGATACTAAGACTCACTGAAAAGGTATGCTGCCGTTGACACAATCATATAACAGGGTTCCAAATAGGAAAGTGGCTTAAACTTTGGTGATGAAATAGATATCTTGACATGTGCAATTAATTATTAACTAGCATTAGAAAATTTTAAGGTTTGGTGTATTTTTTTGAACAATAAGCCTATACTAGGAGTCTAACATGGTAAAATTGAAGAACCTTTTGGTGATTGTACTCTGTAGGCTGCAAATTCACTTCATTTTGAATTGACAAAATATGCCTGATTACTGCCTATATTCTCTGCATGAGTTTATTTCTATTTGCATCTAAATAAGATGATGCCTTTTACCTTTCTTTTCTGGTTTCTTATCTTAAACTCGAGACTGTACCCCTTCTGCTTTTAAAATGCATGCCTGCCCAAAATGAAAGTCGTTTTACATGAGTTTTTAAGCTATTGTTTTCCTTAACTTGTTACGTGCAACCATTGCTACAGGAAGGTCCATCTCTCAAAACCAAGGGAAAAGCAAGCAATGCTACAAGGATTGCAGTTTTGACCTGGAGGTCATTATTGATTATGTCAAGGGAGTGGAAATACTACTGGCTTCGGCTGATTCTCTGTGTGTTTCTAACACTCTGTGTTGGTACAGTTTTTTCTGGGTTAGGTCATTCCTTGTCATCTGTTGTGGTGAGTTTCACAAATTGTAACACAAAGTTGAATTATAAAACAAAGAACATACAATCGTTGAGTGCATTAATTATTAAACATCGTCAAGTTTCTTAAATTGTAGTATTCTTCACTTCTTAGTCAAAAGCCCAAAACCTTCCTTGTTCAATGCGATGTGATGTCATTCTCATTTTTCTTGTTATGTTTTCTTTTTTGAATTTGTTGTAATAATTTCATCTAGATGGTGTATCCATGTTTCTATAATCTAGTAATAAGTTGTTAAGCCTGTTTTGTTGCAATTTTTGGTTTATGTGGACAATTGCTAATAAAGAAATTTTAAAGGTTAGGAAATTTCTATGTTTACATTTAATTAAGAGATACAAAAGTTGATGTTCATCTCTACTGCTGGGTGGATTTTTTTTCAAAAATTTCTTTCAAGGGTATAATTGGAATCAAAATGAAAGTGAGAATGATTTGTAATGTTCAATTAATTATGATACTTGCTGGGGTATCACTTTTGGATTGTCTTTCAAGGGTGGAAATGGGTCTGTCTTAGAGGTTGGAGCAAAAGTCATTTCTAGAATAATTTTCCTAATCTTTTATATTTCCAGTATTTTCCCGGAAAGGATCTTTGAGAATTTGCGCACTTAACACTTTTTTCAATTATTGCTACTGCAAATTCCAATGCACTTAACTGGAAAGATAAATAAGTACCAAATTAGTGTTGTGTGCTCTAATTGGTAATTTATTACATGGAAATTAGTCCTGTATATTTTTTATATTGACTGTTAGATGCCATTCTTCCTTGAAGTTGCTATGAAACACCATTAATTGTAGCTTGACTTTCATGTTAACTGTTGTTAGTGGAAAGCATTAATCTGTCAGTGGGCCGTTTTATATCTTCTTCTTATTCTTCTTTTGGATGTGTTTTCATGAATAGTAGACACTTTGCAACAAACTTGCAATTGAATCTTCCTCTATTGCATATTCTGGCAACAGGGTTCTTGTATTTTATATGCAGAATGTTTTCAAATGTTGTCACTGATAATTTAGAAGTATTCAAGTACCTTTTGACAGTTCCTCAGGCAACATAATGAATATGTTGGCTGCAGAGGCAAATCAATAATCTTTTCCGTGCTTGTTAATATGGTTAATTTACCAAAATTAAAACTTCATAGGCAAGATGGGGGAGTGTTCTAGCAATGGCATTCTTCTTGCTTCTTTCGTTTATTTTATTACAATTCGCTTGTGACATGCTCATTCCTTTTTTTTTCTTCACCTCTGAAATTGCAGACTAGGGTTGCTGCAATATTTGTGTTTGTATCATTTACTTCACTTCTAAGCATCGCTGGAGTACCTGCTCAAATGAAAGAAATCAAGGTAATCACTTTTGCTTCCCCACCTCATTCATGTTAATTTCAAGTAGCAAGGAATATTGCCAGTTTGTCTTCTTGACAATCTTGGCTAAATTTAGTACCCTTCAAAGAGGCTGTTTGGATCCTTTTGTAGTATTTGAGAGAGCTTTGTTTGAGTAAAGTCGTCTAAAAAATTGAGCTAATGAATTGAGTGTGTGTGCATATGTTTGCTCATGTGTCTTTTCAATTGCACTCATCAAAACAGAACAAAACAAACAAACAAATAAAATGTTTCTTTTCAATTGCCAAGTCAAATCATAATAGCCATTATAGAAACTGCATATATAATGTTTCCTTGTGAATAAGCACCTCATAATTTTCTCAGAGAAATTCAAAAGTGATTATAGTGGGTCATGCAGCAATGTTCAACAAGTTTAGAACATGCAAATAGGAATTCTTGGATTCATGTGATTTTAATCGGCTTGCTTTTGAAACTTCCAGCTGCATTTTTTTTTTCAAAGCAGGGAATCTCCATGAATTTGAAAATTCTGAATTTTGGTGTTGTGAGATGAGGATCTTTTGAACAGTTGCATAATTGCTTCCCTCATGCCTTCTACAGTTTTCCTTATTAATAACTTGATCCAAACTGCTGATGTCTTTGCAGATATATGCATGTGAAGAATCAAACCATCATTCTGGAGCATTAGTTTTCTTACTTGGGCAACTCCTCTCCAGTATTCCTTTCTTGTTCCTCATCTCCATTTCATCAAGTCTAGTCTTCTATTTCCTCATAGGGCTTCGAGACGAATTCAGCTTGTTGATGTACTTTGTGCTGAATTTCTTCATGTGCCTCTTGGTAAACGAAGGACTAGTACTTGTAGTTGCTTCCATTTGGCAAGATATTTTCTGGAGCATCTTGACACTGGTGTCCATACATGTGAGTTGCACCCTGCTTAGCCACTTCCAAGTTCTTATTTTGGGTTAACTTAGGCACACAAGCACTTTGGTTATATTTACTTATATGTAGTTAATTATTAGATCCTCCTCTCTCTCTCTCTCAATATATATATATATATATATATATGGATGAAAAGGGGGCTGCTAAATCTAATTTGTGCATATTTAATGAGAATTTTATATTAGTTACTGAATTTGATAATTCAGTGGTATATTATTTAAATATTTGATTAGTTATCTGTAATCTGCTACTGACTAAGTTGTTTAATGTTTAGATTTGGTCTCGAGTAATTGCCCGTGCCCCTTTAATCTAACAGTCAATATTTGTTGCATTTTAGGTGGTTATGATGCTTTCCGCTGGTTATTTCAGAATTCGAAATGCTTTGCCTGGACCAGTATGGATGTATCCGGTATCCTATATTGCTTTCCATACTTACTGTATCCAGGCAAGTTGAATTATCTGTGTTGTTTCATTATCTGTTTCTATTCTGAATATCAATTTATGTTGCTTTGAATCACTTCCAATCTTCTCCATGATTTTGGAAACATGAACTTAGGGGAAAGTATTCACAAACCTATTTGAGGTTTTTTTTTTTTTTTTTTTACCCTTGAATCTTTGACAGGAGTGTTTACATTTTTTTATTCTGTTATTTTATTTGTTTTTCAATAATCCGGCATTTCTGAAGCAGTTGCCAGTAATTAAGTTATTATAATATTAATAATGTGATGATGATCATATCCGGTTACATGTGCTTGTGTTTCAGGGGCTATTGGAGAATGAGTACGATGAGACTTCCTTTGCAGTTGGGCAGGTGAGGACCATATCCGGTTACCAGGCTCTTCGAAGTGCATATGAAATCTCTCCGGACAGTAATTCTAAGTGGGAAAATTTGCTGGTGCTATTTCTTATGGCAGTTGGGTACCGCATTCTTGTGTTTGTTTTGCTACAATTTTGTGTCAGAAAAAACTTACCTTCATGTAGGTTTTTCGAGTGTAATCGGGATCAAAACAACCCATGATGAATGAAAGTGTTGCCAGCCGTGTTTGGCTTTTAGATTGTACTGCTGTTGTTTGTGTTCTTTCGTGCAATGTAGATAGAAACCCGTGATGGAATATATATAAAATTGTTTGTGCTCAATTCTCCCATTATTGCTGTGTTCTTAAAGCTCCTGGGATTCCTGAGGCTGGAGGCATTTGTTATTTGTCATATTTTCATTGTTAAAATTGCATAGGGAAAATGGAATTACAGTCCTGCATGTTGTGAAATTTGAATCCATGACAAAAAAAAAAAAAAAAAAAAAAAATTCACTTTGTTTGTTCTATCAGGAAATAAAATTGTTAAAAATGTTCAAGAAAACATTAGTCTGCGAAGTACGTACTTGACTTAAAGGGGTGGTAAAATTTGACATACACGCCTGTGTTGCATGAACAGTGATGAAGAGGGACCTTTGACCTGCATGTGTAAACCTAAATTTGAAAAGTTTAGGATAACCCCTTGGAAGTCTTGGTCCTTGTTTGAGGGCAGCGGACCGAGATATTTTTAAAATCATTTTTCTTTAATCGATGGTGATATATCTGGATTGTGGTTGAAGTACAATGTACCACACAACAATTGAAAAGCTTTGATGTTTTTACTGTCATATTAATAGTAGTGCTTTCTGAAAATATATATATATACTAGTGCTTTTGGGAATTGAACTAATAAAAACAAAATAGATCATGGACCCACTGATGAGGACCAAAAGCAATATTAGAGGGCTTGGTTTTTGTAGACAAATTATTGAAAACCAGAAATAAGTGGCAAAAACACATTTTGATAAACACATTATTGCTAATGTTTTAAGCAAACTAAGAAAAATTCAACTCCACCATAGCCCAACAAGGAATTCTCTTTGGGATGATTCTTGATTTTGTACAGGCTTTGATCATCTTGTTACCATCTTTCTCTGTACTTCGACTTGAAACCTTGTTATGCATCCTTATTTTTGGCAATAATATTACTTATTATTATTATTAATTTACACATTAAGAAGAAAACTTGTACAACCAACTTTAAAATACTGAACAGCTCCTCAAGCACCACTGTGAATCAATTCAATTTTGATGCATTTGGGGTCTAGCTCGTTTGATTTATCTTATAAGTGGGTGTGAAAATATATAAATTCACACACACACACACATATATATATAAAGAAAAGACGTTTGGAAGGAAGTAAAACACTTAAAAAGCAAAAATGAATCGGCTGATGCCGATTCATGACCTGTTAAATACTCAAAAAAAAATTCTTTAGCAAAAGACAGTTGTAGTATTGAAATTGTGATATCTGTCATAATTAACCAAACAGTAATTGTTGAAAGAGAGATGGTTAATTACCTCTGAGAAGCCCCATGTTTGCACTCTTGAAAACTCATATCACATACAATAATAATATTTAACCAAAATGGCATTCATCTGCATCTACACCTGCACCTTTTTCTACCTCTCCCCATAAAGTGTATATACATACATATATATATATATATGGAGCAAAACAGAATCAGGTGCAGGTGTAAATGCAGATAAAAATAACACCTTGGCCGATTGATATGGAGGTAAGCTGCCCAACATTTCACCGACCGCGCGAGCTTCCTCTTGCTACAGGAAATAGGAGAGGAAGGTGGCGAACAGGTCACCCACCTTTCTCTTGCTACGCATCGAAAATACTATCCTTCTCATTTCCCCTCCCAATTTTCTCACTATTTTTTAATTTCACCCAATGTCTTATACCGAAATAGCATGCATCGAGGGATCCCAACTCACACGTGTAAAAATGTACGTGTGAACTCCACACATCAACGGAGCATTTGTGTGTGAGTTGGGATCCCTTGATGCGTGTTATTACTGTATAAGATATTGGGTGGGGAATTAATCAATTGAAAAAAATGGTGAGAAAATTGGGAGGGGAAATAAAAAGGATAGTGAATTGACGGGTAGAGACGATAGCACGTGTCTGATATAATGGATTTACTGGTGGTGATGTAGCCAAAAGAGTTGGCTGGGCAGAGAGTGGGGCATGTGACGAATGACCAACCCCCAAGCACGTGAGATTTAACCTAATTACTAATCAGAATTCGCCACAGCTCATACTGCACCAGACAGTCCACTGCCCCACATAGACTGACTCATGGTGTGGTGGACTGGGAAATCTACGAATTGAAAGCTACCGCAGGTCAGAATTCACGCACTAGTGTTGGAAGTGGATCCCTTCCTCTACCAAATTATCTGTGTTAAACGATGCAGTGTTGTAATTCTCTCAAATTCATCTCAAAGGCCAGAAAATTATGTGAGAGGGGGCCTTTCAGAATCCTTCAGATCCCAAACAAATGTCTATTTTGTCATTTGAGTTGATATTAACACCCAAAAAAAAGAAAAAAAGTGAGATGATAGAATTGAATCTCAAAATTATTGCCAATGCTTTCATAGTCCAAATAGTAAGATTACTCCCCTGACCTTCTATGAAAAAGTTATGAATATAAATATAAATATATTTGAGATTGACATTGGAGTTTTAAAGTTGAGGACAAAATTTAATATCCATATTATGGAGAACTGTTCTCGTAGCCTGCGCAACACACTACACTGAAACCTGAAGTACAAGAAGATCTCATAATTTTTCTATGTTGACATCTTTACGTTTTTTACATAAATTTATAGCATGACACGAGACTTTATATATATATATATATATTTAGGGTAAATTTTATCTATACTTTTTTTGACCATTGTCAATATTTCACTTACACCCTGACCTTTACGTTTCAATATTTCATCTGTTGTGTGAATTTACAATCTTGCTCATAAATTGTATATTAATGTATGGACCTATAACTAAAAAACCCAAAATACCCTCGAACATTTTTTTTTTTACAATATCCAACTGGCACTCTGGCTCCGGCCAACACCAGAGAAAACGAAGACATTCCAGCACCACCTCCACCACAAACTAAGGTGGCAGATTTCTTTACAAGTTCCATGAACGCAACGCAAGCTACTGTCGTCATAAGCTCCTTGAATGCTTCGGCAAACACCGGAGGGACTGGCCTTCAACGCCATCAAATCGACAGCTGGGTAGTGTCAGAAATTAAACTTGATTATAATTTTTAATGTCTTTGAAGGTCATGGGTGTTTTTTATTTACTGTTTAATATTATGTTTATTTGAGTTTTTATTGGAATTAGTGGGAGGCATAAGAGTTACAACTAGTAATGGTCATGTTAGCAGAAGTTATGCCTACTAAATGTTATGTTAGTGGGGTATTAATTTTCATTTACATATAGTTGTTACATATATGTTTTGGAGCCTATATTATCTCATGTATTTTACCCATTTTTAATCAAGTGAAATAAAAGTATTTTTCTTCATTTTATTCTCTTTAAAACTAGCTTTGATACCATTTGAAATGGTCATTATGCTTCGAAATGTAGAAATATTGCTAACGATGTTGAAGAAAAGGCTAATTATGTTGATAAAGAAATGGAGCCTACTTTGTTGTTGGCATACAAAGGTGAAAGGAGTGAAGAAGATGTGTGGTATCTTGACACGTACCGGTGCTAACAACCATATATGTAGTAGCAAAGAGAAGTTCGTTGATTTCGATGAATCGATAAATGGCAAGGTGATATTTGGAGACTTATCACAAATTCCGGTAAGATGGAAAGGTAAAATATTGATTCGTATGATAAATGTGTATCATCAATTTATCTCTAATATTTATTATGTGCCTAACATGAAGAACAATATTTTAAGTTTTGGACAACTCATAGAAAAAGGCTACAATATTTTCATGAAAGATTATAGTCTTTCAATAAGAGACCCATTGGGTAATTTGATTGCCAAGGTTCCAATGACAAAGAACCAGATGTTTTTGCTAAATATTAAAACCGATGAGGCTAAATATTTGAAGGTTTGTTTTAATGATTTAACTTGGCTTTGGCACTTGAGACTTGGGTATTTGAATTTTGGAGGACTAGAGTTGTTGGCCAAAAAGAAGATGGTATAGGGATTGCCTTTCATTAGCAATCCAAATCAATTATGTAAAGGATGTCTCGTTGGCAAGCAGTCAAGGAAAAGTTTTCCTAAAGAAGCTACCACAAGAGCTAAGGCGCCACTACATCTTATCCAATCGGATGTTTGTGGTCCAATTTATCCATCAACATTTAGTACGAATAATTATTTTTTTATTATTCATTGCTGATTTTAGCCGAAAAGCATAGATGTATTTTCTTAAACAAAAATCGGAAGTGTATGGAATTTTTCAAAAATTTAAGTCACTTGTTGAAAAACAAAGTGGCTATGATGTAAAGACTTTCCGATCCGATAGAGGTGGTTAATTCGCATCAAATAATTTCGAAAAATTTTGTGAAGAAAATGGAATTCACTATCCTTTAATAATTTTGAGATCGCCCCAACAAAATGGAGTTGCAGAAAGGAATAACAGAATCATTCTCAATATGGCTCGAAGCATGTTGAAAAGTAAGGAAATGCCTAAATAATTTTCGGCCGAAGCCATTGATTGTGCGGTGTACTTGTGTGATACCCCTCGATTCTAGAGCCACGGGTGATTAAGTCTAAGTACAGATCCGAGGGATACCAACTATCAATATGTAAACAAGTAGGAATAAAAACTGAATTAAGAATAAAATAATAATACGTTGAAAGAAATCTAAAATAAAATCCTCAAACTTTAAATAATAAATTAATATCATTTAAATCCTTCCAATCCGTACAACTCGGGAATCCATCTAGTGGACCCCTAATAATCCCAAACGATAATTAACATTACAGAATTTAAATCCAAAACTAAAAAGGAAAAAAAATCCTATGTAGTCGGAAGAGTGAGTGTCTGTATCTACATCAACACGATCAAGCTCTAAGCTTGGTACTGGTGAACACCTGAAAAATAGGAGTGGGTCAGACCCACATGCAAGTTCCAATCTACTGCAATCCGTACATAAACCCGATACGCAGATACATCCTAGATAGCTCGGCAATATCTAAAAATAGTATATATATATATATATACACACACACACATACATACTATAGGATACTTACTAACCTATAGTCATCACACCTGAGTAGAAGGTATCACGCAAAACGTCGTAGCGTCG